GGTGAGGATAAGAAGTCTAAGTTCCTGCTCAGTGGGTAATGGAGCTGGGACTGTCTCATTTAGATACATTGCCCAGCTAAGGGTCAGTGGCGGGGAGGGCTGTGGACATTCCATGTTTAGGAGAGGCTGAAAAGGTGGGAATTGGGGCTGGCAGAGCCCACCTGTAGGTTAAGACTCTGCATCTTTCCATTAGGTTGCAGAGATGCAGGAACGGCAACGCCTGGCCCGCCAAAAGGAAATTGGCAAGTTTCGGAGTCTGGAAGGCTTTCAGAAAGATGCTTTGCAAAGGCAGATGCATTTTGAACAAAAGGTAAGCAGTCTGTAGCAGAGATCTTCACACATCCTCACATGTTTGGTGAGAGAGCCTTGTCAGTGGCTGTTCCCTCCATTGGGAGGAACTCCTCCCATGGATGGGTTGCATGGCCCCCTGTTTGTTTGCTTTCTTCCAACAGGCAAAAACATTTTTATTTAGATAGACCTTTGGCTCTTACATTCATGTAGCACAAGTGCCTTTTAATGGGGTCTGCTGTGCTTTTTATCTTTTTTATTATTATGTTTGAAATAGGTGTTTTAAGTTATCTTAACTCTGCTTTTAGTAGAATTGTTTGTTTAGTTGTTTCTTACATTTTGCACAAGAATTTAGCTGTAGTTTGTTTTAACTTGTAAGCCACCTTGGGTCCCATGCCAAGATATAAATAAAATTAAATAAAGCCTTTCTCAGGGCTGGCCTTAGGCTATAGCCCCCCCCTCGTTCCATTGGTGCTGCTGCTGCTGCTGCTGCTGCCGCCGCTGCTACAACCTGCCTGACCCCAATTTCTCCTTTCCCTCTTCCTCATGCCAGTATCCTAAATCTTTTCCTCTTAGCTTGTCCACTGCTGCTTCCTTCAGTGTTTTCATTTGTAGGCTGCAACATTTTCCTCTCCACATTTACCAAATGCCTGTTCCTATCTCCTCCTCTATACCAGAATTTTTATTCAGAGGGAAGTGGCAGCTTTTTTGAATGGGGACAGAGTCCAGGTTCAGTTCCCATTCAAATGTGCTGCTCCTCAACCGCCCCAGATGATTTTTTTGACTGGTGAAGGGGGGCTGCCATGGGTGGCTTGGCTCCATTTCTCATCTTCTGCCTGCCATCATAGGCATCAGCATGGCTAGGAGTGGTCCTTTGGTGGCCGTGGGTCCTTGGCAGATGTCCCATTATGCCAGTCTCTGAAGATGGGTGTGATCTTCTTTATGTATTTGTACCACAGGTGTCTGTAAAATGCAGCAGCTTTTGCAAACTGCTTAGATGTTTCTTCCTCCCTAATTGTTTTGTGGACTTGGGTTGGCATTCTGTTAGTAAAATGCACAAGCACAAATTGTGCAACATGTGTGGAATGATTATTTTGATATTATGCAAAATGTACATTCACCTGATAGCAGTGGAAGCAGAGTTGTGTGCGCAGAACTGTTACACATGCAGTTGTGAAAAAGGATATGTTGTTCAATGTGAATACACAACAGGGTCCATCCATGACCATTTGCTGCTATTCCATACGGGGATTGCGTATTGCCAGCATAGCAAAACTACACTGTGACAGTGTACAATTGTGGCCATAGTGAAGCAACAAGAGTGTCTTTTCTGGAAACTCCAATATTCTATTGTTAATTTCCCCCCTTTGAGTTGAAGACCTGCTGGCTTCAGCTGCAGAGGGTTGGCATTCAGCATCTAGTGGACTTCATGTTCCCTAGATAGACTGCTTCGGCAGAGGTATCTACCTAAATGGGAATCCCCAAGGGAAGGAAAGTTCTCTTGAAAGGACCAGGCTGTCAAAGGATTCAAGTACCAGTAACCATACGAGAGTAATGGAATTATGAGAATACCTTCATTTATTATCCATTTTGAAGACTAAGTCCTTCCTTCCTATTTTAGAGGGATATTTTTATAATTATGTATCTGTGTATGTGTGTGTGTGTATGCTTATGTGTGCGCACACACAGAGGTTGAGGCTCCCTTACATGGAATTCTGAAATATTCCAAAAACCAAAACATTTTTTTAAAAATAGTTGATTAAGTTTCACAAAACACTCAAAATAAAACATTTTTCATGGGTGGCAGAAATAGTGACATCTTTGCTTTCTAATGGTTCAGTGTACCAAACTTGGTTTCATTCACCAAAATTATTAAAAATACAGTTGTCTCTCCATTTTCGCGGGAGGATCCATTCTGGACCCTCCTGCGAAAATGGAAATTTGCAAATATTCAAGCCCCACAGGCTCTGTATGCATGCCACAGGCATTTGCGGCTCTGCTTGCGTGCCACAGGTGTGCATGCCATTTAACCCTCTGAACTTGCTGGACCACAGAGGACTGAGACTACGGACCTGAAGTCCATGAGAATGGACGGATTAGTGTATTGTATAAAATTACCTTCAGGCTGTGTGTATAAAAAGATGTATATGAAACATAAATGAATTTTGTGTTTAGACTTGGGTCCCATTTCCAAGAAACCCTATTATGTACGTATATGCAAATACAGGTAATCCAGAATCCAAAAGACCTCTGGTTTCAAGCATTTTGGATAAGGGAGTCTCAACTATATGTATGTGGGTGTATACACCTAAGCTTAGAAATGTTAGGTTTTTTGGACTGTTAAGTCCCAGAATTGCGCAGTATAGGCAATTTTGGGAGTTTTAAATCTTAAAAATTAACTTTTCCAGGCCCTGACTTGTCTGTGTTTTTGTGTGTATGTAAAATTGTTCTCTACAGGAGATGGATTTGAAGCAACTGGCCAAGCATGCCCTTTTAGAGAAAGACAGCTCCTGCAAGGCCTACTATAAGGAGTTTCGGAAGGTCAGTGAGGGATGGGGTGACTTTGCATGGGAAAAAGTGCCACTGCTGTGAATGGGATGCACAGTTGCTCTTTTGATAGAATTCAAAGATATAGCTGTGTTAATCTGTAGAATCAGTATGTAGAGAGATCTTGTAGTACCTTTGAGACTAACTGAAAGAAAGAAGTTGGCAGCATGAGTTTTCATAGACTGCAGTTTACTTCCTCAGATGCATTTAGTGTGGTGGACCTACAAATGCTTCTGAGGAAGAAGACTGTAGTATACGAAAGCTCATGCTGCCACCTTCTTTCTTTCAGTTAGTCTCAAAGGTGCTACAAGATCTCTCTAGTTGCTCTTTGGGTTTGGCAAGGCTGAGCCACATGTTGGATAAAGCATCCCCTTACTCTTCTATGTCTGTCTCCTTTTTAGGTGATTGAAGCTGCTGATGTTATCCTGGAAGTCCTTGATGCTCGGGATCCCCAAGGGTGCCGCTGCCCTCAGGTTGAGCAGGCAGTGGTGCAGGCTGGAACTAACAAGAGGCTGGTCCTAGTCCTAAATAAAATTGGTATATGTGAAGGCCTGGGTTCTCTGGGGAGGAAAGGAGGTTTGGTATGCCAGGGTTCTAATCCTTTTTCATATGGAACTCAGCACATGAAAATCCTAGGCCTTTTTCTATCCATTGTTTCTGCAAGCATCCCTAGCATGCTGTAATGTTATATTCAGAGTCAATACTTTTTCTCTCCAAATTCACATGCTATAGTTGGGAAGTCCAAGGAATGTTTTTAGAATAAACAGTTTAACTATATAGTGGTTGCTCTGCATTTGCTGGGGTTAGAGGTGAAGGACCCTTGTGAATGTGGAAAAACTGCAAATAAAAAAACACTATTCTTTTTATCTAAGAGAACACCTCTAGGAATCTCCAGGTCCTCTCTATGGTCAACATCTGCCAGAAGTTGATCATAGATTCATGCTGGAG